TAAAAAGTAGTTTTTAAAAATTTTTGTAAAATGCTTTATAATATTGTATAAATATATGCAACCACACAAACATAGAGATAAGGTTTCTCTTTTTACCCAACTTTTCCTTGCTGGCAACTACCTCCGATCATCTTCTCCGGTTCCCACCCCTCTCCCTACCACTACAACGTTCCCTCCACACCACCGAGCACCGCCATGCCTAAATTTGCAAAACCGGGTAACAGAACATGATCAAAATTGTGATTATATCCAATTTGGAGAATGAAATGAAACCAGATCGAGGATGAGAATGAGACAAAACCAGCTCTAGATCGAAAATGGGTAGAAACCAGATCTAGATTTGCAGGGCCGTCCCTGGGGGAGGGCGGCACGGGCGCACGCCCAGGGCCCAAAAATATCAGGGGCCCAAAATTTTCCCTTAAAAACAATAATAGTCTAAAAGAATTTAATAAATTAAAAAAACTCAAAAGATTGTAGCATATAACAAGAGATAAAAAGAATTTAGTAGATAATAAGAGCCCAAAAATATATCCACTAATTACATTGAAGAAGAAAATAAAAATAATTAATTGGTTATTCATTATATGTTATTGTTTATTATCTCTCTAACTTTTTTTTATCTTCAACAAGGTCCAATTATATTGGTTATTGATATCTCTATATGCTTGACTGTTTTCGTACTTCAATAATTCAACATTAAGATCATGTGCTGGCTATTACTATATATTTTTGCTGAATATTTTTATCAAATTCTACTTCTACTGGTTATTGTTGTTTGGTTATGTTGTTCTAATTGTTTTTGTTGACTATTGTTATCAATTTTTGCTTTTACATAAAATATTTTACTATTGTTTACAATCAATCTATTGTTCTTATAATTTATAACGTGTTTCATAGTTTTGTAATTAATCAATAAATTTTTTCTACTAGATGTATAAAGTAATATATCTTATGTATGTCATGTTCCATAAACTTATAATCTTATCATCTTATTTTAGACGAGCAAAAAAAGAAGAAAAAATAGAATTTAAATATTTTCATCAATTGTTTGACTTATGTATCTTTCATTAAGATTCCACCATACCACAATATTCTATTTAAGTGTTCAAACAATCATTTGTTAAGTTTGCATATTATATGTTTAATGCATTATTTATTCTTATTGGATCTCAATAAATCATCTTTTCTTTCATATTCTTATTGATCATCATTTGTCTACTTGTCTAAAAAAACATTGATAATCTTCTTTATTATTGATCTTTCATTGACTCTCACGATTACTTCATTCATAGGATTATCTTTTGCATCAAAATAACATATATTTCTTGTTATTAACTAAAAAAATTCTTATTTTTTATAAAAACTTATCTCTATAGTTTCTATACTCTTGGTTACAAATTACCTAATAATAAGTACGTAAATTTAAGTACTCTCTTATATATCTATAATAAAAATAAATAAGATTTCTTTCCTCAGTAAATTATTAGCATTTCTTGTACTCAATTTTATACTAATGAAAAACATTTATTGAATTTTTTTCGTACTTACAAAGGGTCACTACAAGAAAAGTGAGTTTTGACGATGCGTTTTTTAGCGATGACATGTTTCCGCCACAAGTTATAGGACGACATGCTGTTATATACTATTTCTGATGATAAATGGACTTTTTAGCCACTACAAAAGTCGTTGCTAAAATTCTTGTTTCTTGCAGTGGGCCTTGTTTATACATTCACCCAGGGCCTATAAAATTTCAGGAACGGGCCTGTAGATTTGCCGTGGTTTGGATCGAGATTCCACTAAATGGTTTGGATTTATCATGGTTTGGGTCCACGTGTAGTGGACCAAAGATAATGATTAATGAAGACATGAAAAGGGAAGGGATGAAACCATCGATCATCAACGCCGGCAGGAGGTGAAGCCACCATAAGTTTACATAAGTTTGGATGGAGTTGATAATCTTATAGAAGTTTGGATCCCTTCTCACACCTCGTCTCAAAAAACTTGGATGAAGCTCATCGAAAAAACATGAAGCATAAACCTACATTTTACGATTTCTTTTATTGTCCAAGATGCAAGTGATTTCATGGAGATGAAGATGGAGGCGGTGACGAGTAACGGGGCTGGGGCTGGAGATCAGCAGGGCAAGCTGGCTGGATAAAGAGATCGACAGGAGAATCTTGCCGAAGAAGGTAATCGACATGAAAAGCTAGCCGGAGAAGGAGATCGACGTCGGGGTCTTGTGGGGGTGGCATGCCCTCTGTTTTGGGCGGGAGGTTGGGGAAGAAGCGGGAGATCGTGGGAATGGGATGGTTGGACACATGTCATCATCTTTTTGGTGCTTTAAATTGTTTTTTTATAGTTATTAATGAAAAGACTAAATTATCCTTCATTTAACAAAAGATGTTTTAAATAGGGGTGAGGATAGGCAGGTACCTGCCCTTTTTGACAGGAACCGGAACCAGAACCGGAACTGGAACCGGCGGTTCTTGAGATATTGGAACCGGAACTGGAACCGGTTAGAGCAGTTCTTGAATTTTTAGAACCGGAACCGGTTCCGGTTCCGGGTACCCGCTTCCTAAAATATTAAAATTTTGTTATTTAGAAATAAAAATATAATATTGCCAAAACACTAAATTAAATAAACAAGAATACAAATTATACGAAATAATAGTTCCAAATATTGTTTTAACGATTACAAACCATAATAGACTAATAGAAAATGTTCAAAGTTTAACGATTATATACTATAATTGTAAATTTTCAAAACTTAACGATTACATACTATGAACTGTAGTTTAGTAGAACTAGAAAGTAAATGAAGAATAAAGATGACCGCGTCATTTGAAGATGTAACTTAATATAAATTTGGTATTGAAAAAAATCAATTATTTTTTTATTGAAAAACAACCGCCAGTTCCGGGTACCGGCGGGTAACGGTTCCGGAGAACTGAGAACCGGAACCGGAACCGTTCTCAATCGGTTCCGTATTTTAGGAACCGGAACCGGAACCACTCATATCGGTTCCGGTTCCGCAAACGGGTACCCGATTCTACTATTCACCCCTAGTTTTAAACATAGTTATTAGTTTAGGGGACCAACTCACAACCAAAATAAAACCACAATGACTAAACTTGTAATTATTTTGTTTGAGGGACCCAATCTATATTTGTGTAAAACCGCAATGATATAATTTGTAATTTACTTTGTATTATATTATATGTAAATATATAAAGAGTATTAGCATCTCCAAAAGATGCTAATACTTGTAAATTACATTTTTTATTCTTGTGGTTTGTATAAAAATATGGATTTTGTTCTTGTGGTTTTAAATTTTTAGTTTTCATTATTCTGTTTTGTAAATCATTTCTATTTTCATTCTTAAAGTTAAAACATTACTTTTAAGTATGAAAGACTAAAATATAAATGAATTGTAAATAATAAGGATGAAAAAAACAATAAATATTAAATTATAAGGATAAAAAAAGATAATGAATTATAAAATATAAGAATGAAAATTATAATTTCAATACTTTAAGAATGAAAATAAAAATTTTAAACCACAAAGGTGGTATCTGGTTAGTTTGAGCTTGACTCCAAAGGTCAAAAATACCTGTAGATCTCATGTTCAAATTCAATGAGCAATAAAAATCGTCTTGTGGTCACGGAGGTTCAAATGCGATGACTCCGGGCTATCTATAAAACAGATGATCGCTCTGAAATTAATCGGCTCACATAACAGATTGAATATCCATGTTAATTAAAAAAAATAGAAATTTTCAACAAATGATATCAACTAAAATGTAATTTACTCATTATTTTATTAAGATAACACTTGCATGAAAAAAAGTAAATACATTACAAGCCACTCTTGAAGTGGGTTTCCTGACCAATATAACCCTTTAAAATATCAAAATTATATTTTTAACCCTTAAATGTAAAAGACGTAATTCGATATTAAAATACAATGTCTTTTTACGATCTTGTTCAAGTGGTGCCACCTGTATTTGTTACATCAAATGCATGAGCATCGGATTTTGATGTATTGATCGAATATCGAGCCAATGACCGAAATAAGTATTTCTAAACATTTCTAGTCGGTTTCCCGACCTCCGCAATGCTCTCAAAATTGTAGTTGAAATTTCAAAACTTGATTTTATGTTAACAAATGGTTAATAATAATTCCACTGATAGATATAATATAAAAAAATTGCGAAAACATCATATAAAAAAATTGTAAAAACGAGATTATATTTAGAAATGAGATTATATTAAAATTAATACATTGTAAAAATTAGATTATATAAAAAATACATTGTAAAAATGAGATTACATTAAAATTATATATTGTAAACTTACCATGACATAGACGATTACATTTCGGTAATGGAGATTGTATTAAGAAATGGAAATTGCATTAAGAAAATAAAGATTATATCAAGTAATGAAGATTAAAGTGTTGGTTTTGTGTTAGTAATATGAAATCTGAAGTGTTTATGTAGTGGGGTTGAGAAAGAAAAAAGACAAAATCAAATATTATTTTGTATTGGGAAAAAACAAAGAAGAAAAATAAATTGAGCCGGGTGGGGCCCTTACGCACCGTGCACCGGCCGGTGCGTAAGGGGGGTCACGGTGTGGTCAACCCTGCATGGCTCGGGTCACATCGGTCCAGCCAAATTTTTTTACAGTTTAATCCATGTACACATCAAACGGTGCTAATGGGATAACGGATGACCTTTTGCTAAAATTTTAAATTTTAAGGTTAAATTTTGATATTTTAGAGGGTTATTTTGGTCGGTGGGCCTCTTGAAACAAAGAAAAGTAAACCATGAGAAAATAGACTTGTATTTATGTTTTTTTTTTCTTTCTGTAATTCCATTTTTGTCCTGCCCACATTGTATGATGTGGTGTCCACGTGATGGGTTGAACTTGAGTTCTTAAATACCCGCCTCAAATCCAACGATTCCGTATCTCATCACTACACAAAAACGCAATTTCTGCAGCAGCCGGCTATCTCTGTACCAACTCCGCCATTTTCTACTAAGCTCACAAACAAGGCTATAATGGCGTTCGATCGACAGCGCTTGGAAGAAGGAAACACCGGCAAAGACGGATCAGAACTAAACGGAATTTCAACCGATGACCTTGCAGCGTTCTCCGGTTTACGAAGGTAAACAATTACATACTCTTCCTTGTCATAATCTGGAGAGAGAAAACAATTCATTTTAAGATGGTTGATCATGATCAGGTTCGAGAACGCTACAACAGAGTATATAACGGTATCAATTTTATGCAATTTTAAGTTGGGGG